AACCGCGGCGGGCCCCCTCCCGGGTTTTTTGGTTGTTAAAACCACCCTGGGTTTGGTGGTTTTCAATTTTATATTGGGGGTTTTGTTTGGTTTTTTTGCTTTTTTTTTTTTTTTTTTTTTTTTTTTTTTTTTTTTTTTTTTTTTTGGCATGTCTCTTTTTGTTTGGCATATTTTGGCACATACATTTTTGGCGAATAGATGTCAACTGGTCCTGCGATGGGACAAGCGCGCTTTGGATACTGCAGTAATGGAGTCTTGTTTGGTGTAAAAGAAAACGGGGATTTCATGGCATCTGGGGAGTCGTGTATTTTTTTTTGGGCAAATATTTATACATCGGGTTGAACCAAAAAGTGTCTCGTCGTGGCATTGGCTTTTTCTCCAACATCAAATATCATGACAAAAGATTTCTCCTGGTAGACGGACAGGATTGCCGCAAGGCTCCTGGGTGAGAAAAAGAACCTAACCACCGGGTAGGGGATGGTGGGCTGGATGGTGCATGGGGAGAGCGTTTAGAGTCGACGGATTAATAAGTAACCTAGCACTGCGAAACGGAGACTCAAGTCTTGATTTGAGGCTTGTAGAAGGAGAGAACAAATGAGATGGAAAATCAGGGAAATAACAGCTAGTTGTCTAAGCGTACTTACATTATCGATTAGCTGACTCTATATACACACCACCATTTACGCCCACAAGCACAACGGGCGGTGGGCATGGTATTATTCTAGTCTTCCGGCGATGCCCTCACGGCCTCACGCCTCCCATATCAGGACAATGACGGAATCGACGTCCGACTTCTCCTCCTCCGCGTGTACCTTGTCGCCGGTCAGCCGGGGATCCGCGTCGCCGAACCAGTTCCCTCCTCCCCGCCGCTTCACGTACGCCTGCCACACCTCGCCGCCCTCGCCTACCCTGGCATCCAGCAGCCTCCAGACCCGCTTGCGACCCCTCCAGGCCACCACCTTCATGTCGCTCGGCCGGTCGGGCCGGTCGACGACGAGCCCGCTCCCGACCGCCACCCTATCGCCATCCTCCTGATCGTGCCGTTGCTTCTGTGACGGTGCGTCCGTCTTCCTCGGCATCGCCACAACCGCCGCCGCCGCTCTCCTCGTCGTCGTCGTGGCCGCCGCCACCGGCGGCTCTGGCGGGGTCTTCACCCTCGACCGCAGCGGGAGGGCGTCGACGCCGTCGGGGTAATGGGAGATGGCGTAGCCGTTGACGAGGATCCAGTCGTCGCGGAAGCGGAAGCGCTGGAGGAAGCAGTCCTCGCCGCAGGCGGACGTGACGAGGTGGCCCTTGCCGGCCTCGAAGCGGTGCCAGTTCTTGTAGTGGTGGAGGGTCAGGGGCCGGATGCCGGCGCCGTACCCCTCGCTGCTGATGGTGCGGTCGCCGTAGGCCTCGTCGTCGCCGGGGGCGTGGTAGCTCGGCAGGACTTGCAGAACGGCCGACGAGTGCGAGGTGACGCAGTCGTAGAGGGAGAAGTCCCACTGCGCTGATTTGGCGGTCGACGACTCTGGGTCTCGCCCGTCCAGGTCGAGACAGGGCAGCTGCGAGAACTTTTCCGCCATCGGGAGGGTGAGGAACACGGCGCCGCCGCCGCAGGTGAAGGTTTTGTTGTTCTCGACGATCCAGTCGGAGCGGTCGCTGGGGGCGCCGATATAGTACTCCTTGCTCGGGTGGAACTTGGATAGCTTGTCGACTAGCTTCGACATGCTTGGGAAGAACACATCGTCGTCTACCAAGGCGAGATACCTCTTGGACTGGGCTCCCTCTCCACCGCCGAACCCTTCGCTGTACTCCCTCAGAAGATGCACCAGCTCCACGTATCGAGAGGTAGCGTCTCCGTCATCGACAGATCGCAAGACGGTCGCGTCGATCCCGAGAGAGCGCAACAGGCTGCTGGCTCGCTCCACCTCGTCATTCCTGGCTCTGTGAAGGGTCACCAGCAGGCTCGCCCCATTTGAATTCCCGTTCCCGTCGGTCAGCCACCTTTCCCAGTCGCTGATCAGCGAGTTGTTGGCGTATATAAGGCGCGAGTACGTGGTCGATATGCCGAACAGCAAGGCAGTTGCGTCAACCTGATGGCCCCTTGGGCTCGATGTGACGGGCAACTTGATGCTTTTCTCGGCTCGTAACTCTAGGTTCTCATCATCAACCCGAGCCCTGGTAAAGTCGTGTGGCATGAACTGTATGGGAACCTCGGTCATCGACATTCGCCTTCTTGCCGAGGAACTGGATTTTATCCTCCGCGCATACCAGGGAACCTCGTTGGTGAGGCCGTACGTATGGACCAGGTACTCGAGAAACGCCACCTCTTCTGGCCGCGAAGTCTTATTGGGATGTCTCCAGTCATGCCAGGGCGATGTCCTCCCCTCGGTGTTATCGTAGATGCTGGGCTGCTTTGGCTGGGATGTGCTCAGCCGGAGGGTCAAGAGCAGACTCGTGCAGGTGAGCACTACGATCACAGCCCGTATCGCCTTCGCATGGCAGTACAATAGAACTCGCGGGATATGCATTTTAGGGCTGTTAATTAAACGAGTGACTCGGTGGGAAAACGTCATATCCGCCGAACAGCCACGGTTGGCAGATCCACGGTTTCGAAGCGATTGAGTGGGAAACCGGGATGGCAGAGGTTGTAACGATCCACAGGGCAAAAAGACAGATTCAGATACACTTCGGTGATCGCATCATGACGAGTGACCCGGAGTCAATTTCTTGCACGTGGTTTCCGGTGCTTGGAACCTCCTACTTGCTTCGAGAGAGGCGATTTTCAGAGGAGGGGGAGGCCACAAGGGATTGGCAGGTAGGTATTGGAATGCGATTGGAATTAGGAGAGTATGGATGCGAAGAGGGAGAGACTTGGACGGGACAGAACTCCCCTTCATGTTGCCCCTGCCCTGAAACTCGACAGACCTGGGAATATAAGGCAGGCCAGATTCGATAGTAACCAGCTAGGTAGTAGATAATGTATAGAAAGGCGGAGGGCCATCGGGCCAACCAGAGGAAGTGGCTGTTTGCAGATCTCATCAAGTCTCGTCCCTGAAATCAGGCTGAAGTTCCCCAATCGCAAATTCTTGGGAGCCGTAGCTGTTGCGGGATGGGCACCCCCGCCTGTCCGCATTCCTGATTTGTGAGCTATCACCACGGACAGCTTGGAAATGGCGGGATTGCTGTCATGTAGGCACCGGCATCTCATCTAACAGTATATCTTTGCCCACCAGTCTTGGCCTTTGACTGTGACAAGCTGTGTTCTCGCCTGTTGATGGGAAATCCGATTCTGACCCAGACAATAACCCCTGGAATGGCCCGGCACTTGCTGGAGCTCAAACGGAGCCCCCAAGGGTCACCTCTCGGCCCAAATATGACTCAAGGGAGCGCCTTGTCTCAAAACAGCCAGGTGGAGAATGACAAGACTTACTTCACTTAACCTTAACTGTGAGGCAAAAATGGCGCAAGACTCTCGTTGACTGGAAGACTTGACGTGGGAAGTCAGGAGAAATCAAGGTAACCAAGAAACCAACATCGCACGTTGGATCGCGTCGCTGGTAGCATGGGGGATGAGGTTGGAATGAGCTATCAGGAAGGTAGGTACGGTAGATAGGTAGGTTCCTCTTGGAGTTGGGAAATAGGTACTTGGGTACACGACCGTAGCTCTCCTGACCGCCCGGCAGAATCCCCGCTGTCGCAACATTTTTTTCTCGTCACCTACAACTTGCCGACATTCTCGAAGTTGAACTCCAACTCCAGCCCATGTGGATGCGCCGAAGCTTAACTTTCTGTTCTGCCCGGGGCATAATACAACATGCGACACATTTCACACCCCTGAGAGCCACGATCCCTACCTTGATTCGCACAATGGCCTCCGAAGCTCAAAGCATTTCTGCCCCGCCTGCCGACCGGCAGCTTATTACTCACAATGGAAAACAATATACAACAGTCAAGGAAGGCCTTGCCTACATTTTGACTCCCGAGACCGCCGACGATGGCCCCAAACCGACAAAGGAGACAGATGAGGTGCAACAGGTCTTCTACAACCCTATCCAGCAGTTCAACAGGGACTTGACAGTGCTTGCCATCAAGGCATATGGGAAGGAGAAGTTGGAGGAGAAGGAGGTCATGCGCCAAGAGAGAATGAGCAAGCTGGCTGAAAAGAAACGAAAGCGCCAGGAGCAAACAGGGAGCGATGACCGTCCGACTAAGGCACAAAAGATCTCCGACACTCCGGCCCCGGAGTCTGGCATTGCAGCCAGCTCCAAAGGCAAAGATACGGTTGATGCCACCTCAGCTCCGGCCGAAAGCGGCCCGGAAACAGCTCCTCTGGAAGCCGGAACGGAACTACGAGCGAACAATTGCACACAGCCCGGGCGTGACGATCCGAACGGTGACAAATCGCAGACAACCCTGGCGAGGTTTACAATCCTTGACGCACTTTCAGCCACGGGGTTGCGTGCGTTGCGCTATACCCAAGAGATACCCCTTGTGACGTCCGTCACCTCGAACGATCTGCTGGCTTCAGCCATCGAGTCAATCAAGCTGAATGTGGAGCACAACAAGCTTCAAGACAAAATTAACGTATCCCACGATGACGCGATAGCTCATATGTATACCCTTGTTGCCAAGGAGCTACGGCGGAAGGACACGAGGGGACGGCCGACAAAGAGCGAGAGGTACGACGTGGTTGATCTAGACCCATACGGGACAGCCGCGCCGTTCCTCGATGCGGCCGTCCAAGCTGTCAGGGACGACGGCGGCCTCCTCTGTGTTACATGCACAGATTCTGGCGTCTGGGCCTCCAACGGATACCCGGAGAAGGCGTACTCCCTCTACGGCGGCATCCCGATGAAGGGGGGCATGCAGTCGCACGAGGGTGGCTTGCGCCTCATTCTTCACGCGATTGAGTCCTCGGCTGCCCGGTACGGGTTGGCCATGGAGCCTCTCCTATCCTTGTCCATTGACTTTTACGCTCGCGTCTTTGTGCGCATCAGGAGGTCTCCTGCGAGCGTCAAGTTCCAAGCAGGCAAGAACATGATCGTCTACAACTGCGATGCCGGTTGTGGTGCCTGGACAACGCAACTTCTCGCGAGGAACAAACCCGTACCAAACAAGAAGGGCTCAGGGCATTACTACAAGCACGTCTTCGCTCCGGCACCCACAGCGAACCAACACTGCGAACACTGTGGCTCGGTAATGCACTTGTCTGGGCCAATGTACGCCGGCCGCCTCCACTCCCCTTCGTTCGTCAAAAGGGTCTTGGAAGAGGCGCGGGACGCATCGACGGATATCTATGGAACGATCAACCGGGTTCAAGGAATGCTACAGACAGCTCTGGAAGAGTTCTTGCCGACCCCCGAAGAGGCGGAAGCTCTAGAGGGGCAATCCCGGATGGAGGGGGTAGATCCGGAGCAGACGGCTCCCGAGACAAAGTCAACCGAAGCCGTTATTTCGAAAGAGGATGAGCTGGCCGCCATCGATCCTTATCCCTTCTTCTTTATCCCGACCCAGATAGCTGGAAAGCTGCACTGCGTCACACCGCCCGAAAGTCCGCTGAGAGGCGCACTCATCGGTCTCGGGTACCGTGTTACGAGGAGCCACTGCAAGCCTGGCAGCATGAAGACGGATGCGCCTTGGTCGGTTATCTGGCACGTCATGAGGGAATGGGTCCGTCAAAAGGCACCTGTTAAGGAGGAGAACATCAAACCCGAAAGCCCGGCCTATCGGCTCCTGCGGCTGGGTAAACGGGAGGACTCGGGCACTTCGGAGGATGGCTCGAAGGTCGCCGACGGTGAGAAAATGGAGGTGGTATTTGATGAGAAAGTCGGCAAGGATCCGACAAAGGGTCTCTACCTCCGATATCAGACAAACCCCCGGGAAAATTGGGGTCCGATGAACAGGGCTAAGGGCCGATGATACGGGACCGTCGACGGTGTGACCCCAGGATGTCATTGTTTTACTACTAAGCCCCAATTAAGGGCAGAACAGGAGTGGGCATCGTGTTTATGCCGAGATGAAAAACAGGAGGATCTCCTCTGACAGGCCAAGATCTGGCAATGAGCCCAGGCTTCGCTACGTGACAATTGTGACTTATGCCTGCTTCTCCAATCATCCTAGCCAGCCGATCCCACTCCACCATATTTGTTAGAGTATATACTATGATACCTACCTACACAAGCAGCGGGAGATGGCGCAATTGTTTGCTAATAGCTGAGTCTTACGGCACCTCGTGGAAGGTGCCTTGGCGGCTACTTCGTATGTACCCTGTTTCACCCAGGGTCTTCCTTGCTCGGAGGGGAACGTTCTGGGCCATTGCCCTAAGTTACTTGCCCACCAATGTAAGGGTGCTGAAGGAAGATGAGATGAGTTATAGATCGCCGAATATCACAGAGGTGTGGGAGGGTAACACGTGGTGTTGAGTACCTAGTCTGACGGAACACCGGTTACCATGCTTAGAAATCCTCAGCTGGTATCAGGGTCAAAATCTTCATCTCTTCATCTCTTCATCTCTTCACTTCAATTGTCCCGTACATTCGCTGCCACTTTTCTCTTCATCATTGCCTGTCGCTAACTCCTACCTTCTTGTACCCCTCCCTCCACCCCGCAAATGGCTCTCCGGACACCAAGAAATGACGAAAGCCTAGACCACGCACACTCTCTCAACCATGCCGACGGCAATCTCGTCTGGGCGTCGTCGTCGCCGCCCGGCGGCGACATCGAGGACGCAATCGGCCCCCTCAGGGAAGAAGAAATCGTCTTCGCCCTGAGGCGCCGGGACGGCGACGGCTATCTCGTCTACAGCCTGGCGGAGCCGCAGCAGCCCGCGGAGGCCGTCGCCCAGCCCGGGGAAGCCGCCGCCACCCAGCCCAAGGCAGGGGCCGCGGGGCCGCCGTTCAGGCTCTCCGCCCTGCTCGCCCCGACTCTGCCGGAGGGGCTACTCGCGAAGCACCTCCTCACGCGGGTGCCCGACCACCTGGTCTGCGACGCCGGCCACCGGCTGCACGTCGTCGTGTCTACGGGGTCCGGGACGTGCCAGGCCCAGGAGTTCCACGACGCCGTGCTGCGGCCGCTGCTGGCCGCGCTGGGCCTCGCCGCGGGGTCCGAGGACGCCGACGCGGCCCGCCGCGACGGTGGCTACGAGCTCACAATCACCCAGAGCCCGCAGACGGTAAGGGACCTCGCTCGACGCCTATGGGGCAGCGATGGAGACGACGATGGGAGCAGCGAGTCGGGACCGCCCGTCGCGCGGACGATCGTCCTACTGAGCGGCGACGGCGGCGTCGTGGACCTCCTCAACGGCAGCAGCAGCGGGGAGCCGACCCGCGCGGGCCCGAGGCCGTCCATCGCGCTCTTGCCCCTCGGCACGGGCAACGCGCTGTTCCACTCCCTGCACAAACCTCTCTACGCGGCGGCGGCCGGGGAGGGCGGTGGACCTTCGCCGTACGTGCTCGGCCTCCGCACGCTCCTCGCGGGCGCCGCCGCGCCGCTGCCGACCTTCAGGGCGTCGTTCTCGCCCGACTCCCGGCTGGTCACGTACTCGGAGGAGGAAGGTCGCCCGGCCCAAGACCGGGACCAGGACCAGGCGGCCCTCGAGCAACAGCCCCGCCGCGATAAGCCCGTCGACCACCTCGTCGGGGCCATCGTCGCGAGCTACGGCTTCCACGCCAGCCTGGTGTGGGAGAGCGACACGCCCGAGCACCGGCGGCACGGGGCCGCGCGGTTCGGCATGGCGGCGCGGGAGCTGCTGGCGACGAACCACGCGTACCGCGCGGTCGTCGAGGTCAGGCCGGCAGGCGCCGGCAGCTCCGGCGGGGTCCGGAGGCTCGGGCGGGAGAGCTACGGGTACGTGCTCGGCGCGATGGTGTCGAACCTGGAGAGGACCTTCACCATCTCGCCGGCGAGCGCGCCGCTCGGGGGCCAGCTGCGGCTGGTGCACTTTGGGGACGTCGGGGCCGATGGGATGATGGATATCATGCAGTCGGCATACGACGACGGCTCTCATGTTGGGATCAGTTGGGTAACTAAGGATGGGGTCGAGGACGGGGTGGGGTACGATGAGGTTGAAGGGTTCAAGGTCACTGTTGAGGAAGACGACCCCAGGTGGAGGAAGGTATGTGTCGACGGCGTGATCGTCGAGCTGGCGCCGGGCGGTTGGATGGCAGTGGAGAAGATCCCCGAGTCACGTTTTTATGTGGTGGTTGATAGATCTCTTCTAAAGGGTGCTTAGAGTCTTCGGTCGGTTCAGTTCACACCTAGGCAATCCGATGGAGATGATAGTTCTCTTCCTCCTGTACCTTTGTCAGGTTATTCAAATCCACTCTCTAGCGTCCCACCAACCCCTGATGTTTTGTCTGCTTCCCATACTGACGGCATCGGTATTCCGGCGTATCTTAACAAGTATAAGCCTCTCTAAGTTCAGCATATACCAGGTCTTAGGTCATGTTCCCGCCACCCGCCCGGCGTAACATCCGCCAAGTCTCTGGTTTCACGATTGAGGGCTGCTGTACTGTTCCGAACAAGATTTCTACAGCTTACTGGCCCGGTTGGAAAGACGGTGTCCCTGCAGCAAAGGGCGAGAAGCTAAAATTTGTTACAATAAATGGGTTCACCTAGATGCTCCCCCTTATCTATGGGCAAACCGGTATGTTATATAGATGTTGCCTCTGATCCAAAACCTCCATCCTTATCTATCATATACTGTTCGGCCTGCTCCTGCGAGGACTCACAAATGGTCAACTCTGCAACGCAACACCCTAGTGGCCAACCTCCGCTCAGTACCAGAACACGCTTGATGTCAGAAATAGCGTATATCAGAGCCAAGAGGAAACGGTCCTTGGCCTCGTTCCTGGCTTAGAACTCCTGAACAAGGGCGGAGTTGTCACCAGCCGCTGACCGGCCGCCACTCCGTAATTCCTCCGTCATTCCTCCACCAGTCCTCTGTTCACAGGTCTGCTCCAAGCCCCCAAATGCCGTTTGAAGAGGTGTCATCTGCATATGTCTCGGGAGCCTGTATGTCTCGGGAGCATCTGCCACTCCATGACGAGGAGTAATTCAGGAATAGTCCAAAATCTTGCCAGTTTATGGACAACTATATCTCACCTTTACGCAGTGTAAGCTCAACACCCCCCAAGCATGCCACGTCACTTTCTAGGCGGTCCACTCCCAATGGACGGCATTGCTAGCAAAACTTCCCTGCTGGAAGTGAAGCAGAATCACAGAACTTGGTCAGAAACTGAAACCTGTGCCGCCTTAAGAAGGTAATAGGTACACCGATGCCTATCACGACTCTGGATTTGTTACGTTGCTTCATTGTCTCTCTCCTCTGCCTGATCAGCGTGGCAGATATACAAGACACCCTGACCGAGAGGGGGGTGGTCAGAGTCACCTCAGACCTACCTCGGCCAGAGTTTAAGGCTAAGTCTCACAGGCGTCTGCACCTTGGTAGGTTTGGAATTTGGAATGTGAGTAGGAGGACTTGTGACGCGAAGGAAGAGAATAGTCCGGGGCAGGATGTAGAGTTTAGAAATATCAAGCCACGCGGACAATTGATGGCATTCTACAGAATGCAGGAGGGTACACCTGATCCTCATCTGATCCTCAGAGGACAGTGCCAATGCATGTAGAGACTCAATTCAACATCGCCGATCCCTTCACTGACTGAGAGCAACATGAGTAGCAAGAGAGTGACTTAACAGGAAGCTGGATGAGAAAGGGGCCGGTAAATTTGAGACATTGTATAAGACTGTCAGCTCGGGGAGATGAGTGGAAGGTTACAAAATCAGCAGGCCAAGGTGAGTGAGAGTTTGCCACCGAAGATTTTGTTCACAATAATGAGCTAGGCAGCAAAATATCCAAGCAGGCACTCTCACCGATCTGGAAGTACCGGTTGATCACAGCTAGGAACCCAGTATAGACGAAGGGAGAGAGCCTTTGTCTTGTGTCATACGAGTGACGGGATGATGACATGGTTCTGTAGAGTAAGATCAGATCAGATCGACACCCTAAAAGGGGGCAGGGGTAGTCCAAAAGCAACGTCACGGCTCGGATCCCGGCCGGCACCTATCAAGGTACCCACCCACCCACTCGTCCCATCTTCCCTGACAGAAGCGTCCCATCTTTTCTTGCGCACCGACTCCTTTAATAAAAAGGCCTCGTCTCGCGTAAGGCTGAGAAGTCGTGTAACGCTAGCTTGAAAATAATAATAAGATCAGATCGATCAAGGTGAAAGTGAGAAGCGACCGAGAGACGGGCGTTCCCGGGGCCTGTTCCCGGCTTGCACCGTGCATGGGACGGGATCGCCGGAGAAGCCGTGTGGTTGATCTTCCCAAGCGCACAGGCTGCCGCACCCACTTGGGTCGGTGGATTGGTTATTGGGAGGCAAGCTAAACGACGTAGGTAGGTAGTAGATGGCGGTGAGAAAAGGCTTGGCAAACGGGCATAGCGCCGGTAAAGGGGTTTTAGGAGGAAGCAGTACCCAAAGGGGATATTTTCAAGCGAACACAACGGAGGGGATGAGCATGTATCAGCTTCTGAGACAACACTTGCGATGATAAACAGCGACCCGTGACGGGAGGCTTGCGACCAGCGTGTACTACCCGGCTATCTGCCCCATAAGAGGACGACAGAAGTCTGGCGGGATTCTGTAACGGCAGCTCGCATCGAAATATCGAGGACGAGGACCATCCACACATGCATCGAAACGAGGCAATAAAAATAGAAATTTGCCACCGACATTCCCCAGCGGAATTGATTCGGTGCGGCCTCTTTTGTGTAGTTGTAGTCCCGCCGTCGATCTGCCTGGGCGCCATTCAGGGACGGGCAACAGGGACGAAGCTTTGTTGGGCGGGAAGATACCACTCAACGGGCTAGTGCCCGCATCAAGTGCAAGGGAGCGGGAATTTTCATGTTTTATCTAGGTAGTTTCTTGGCTCAACCAGACTAAATCACAACAGCGTCTTTTTTCGCTCGTGCCTCAAAAACCTTAATTCAACATCATGTATTCCCCCTGTTGGTCCCCCCTTCGGAAATCGACTCGTCCTCTTTTGTTGTTGTTGCTTCGATCTCATAGCGAAGCCCAACTGCCCCCTCCTCCTAACCTCGGCTGTCTTTCCTGGCCGACGGTCGGCGGCGTTCCCGTTCCGGAGCGTTTACCCCTCCCCTAGGCCTGGGCCTGGCCTTGGCCTGCAAACCTACCGGCACGGTACCTACCGGCGTACACAGTGCGCCGCTAACACCGGTCACAGCCGCGTGAATGGGATACCTATCCTCCCCGGGGGGTGGTTATACGATCTGGCCCCGCAGAACAATAGCGGTGTGACATTGTGGACATGGTGCCGAACCTCCGCGGACATGTCAATCGCCCATCTCATCTGCCCACCCCCATTCGCGAGCCTCGCTAACCAGGCTTCATCACCGCTGAAGCGCGAGGTGTGGTAGGAGGGGTGGGTAGGTGGGTGTGTGTTTGGTGGAGGAAAAAGACAAGGGGGGGTGAGGACAAGGGCGGGGCCAGCCGAGCCCACTTCCAGTTGTGGTCCTGGCTGCTTGAGTTGTGCTGCTGGCTGCTTGGATTGGCTCTCTCGCCGACGTGCGATGTGTGCCTCCCGTGCCGCTTCATGTACCACTCAGCCTCGGCGAGTGCGAGATGCAAGTCATACTCTACTGCATAGTATGCAGTCCAATTTGCGTGGTCCTAGCCTGCGGGCGGAGCTGTGCTTCCTAAATCACTCGGTACGTGGTGCTTAGATGAAGGTGAGGGGTAAGATGGGGTAAGATGGGATCAAGACGGGGGCCCGCGTCTGCATTACCGAGAAGCTTCACTCGCCCATCCGGTGCCGATCCCATGCTGACCTTCCTGTTGGCCGGTCAGCGTAGCTGGTAAAACGCTTACCCTCCTTCACGGCATCCCTAACAATGCGGCGCTTCTTTGGATGTTTGGCCTCCAGCTTCACCGTCAGTCTTTCGAGACACAGTGAGTGGAGCAGCTTTGGCATCCCAATAGGGGAGGTCATGTACATGTACAGTACATATAGCTCCGAGAGGGGCCCGATTGTATGTGGGCCGGCCAGCAAGAAGCACCATCACATCATAATGGACATTGGCGACCAGCCACCCAGCCAATTGATGATCCTGATCGCTTTGTGACCACTTGCTATCAGGTGCCCAGAGATGCTACTGGTAGTGGTTATCGTCCAATGCAGCAGATGCAGTAGAATGCCTACGCCGATTGTGAATGCTGCCGCCTTAGCTGCCGTGGTGCTGCGAGCTGCATCTTCTTATAATTCCGAGGGGCGTTAAGGGGCGTCTCGTATTGCCGTGAACCGTAGGGAAACAAGAATGAGACTGAAACCGGGCAACTGAGGGTATGAACGCCATTGCACACGTGATGAGCTGGGATCTAGGACGCCTTTACCTCTTTTTTTTTCCCTTTCTTCTTTTCGTGTTACCCAACGTTCTGCAATTTCACGGCTAGGCTGTGCGTGCGATCGATCCTGGCTGCGCCGTCCCGCCTGCATCTGCCGTCTTGTGCAACGGTAGCATCAGGTACAGGGAGCGAGTTCCACGTTTAATCGAGAGTGTGCCTCCATTGACGTACTAGCGTTACCATACAGCTTCGTTGGACAACGGAACAAAGGGGGCGAAGGAATAAGACAGGCCCCGGGGGGAGGATTGGAACCAAGAAACAACCATTTCCCCAGTCCATCCCCCATCGCCACCAGGGATCAACAAGAGTCATTCTATTACCAGTCATCACTGACCCTCATGTTTCCACAGCAAGGGCACCCATTGGCCTATTCGGCACACGGGTAGCCAACCGTCGTCCATCGAGCTTCATCGTGGAGAGAAGCGGAAAAGAAAAAGAAGAAACATTGGTAAGAGATTAAAAGAAAGGAAACAGGAAGGAAAGGGAAGAATAAGAAACAAGAAGCGTGAGAAGTAAAATATACAATAATAGGGTATCCTCGCAAATGCCGTTTCTCGTCGCCCGCAATCCTGTCAGCACCGAGTGAGTCCTTTCCCATTTGCAGTCGCTCAAACAAGCAAAACTACCTAGGTGCTCCAATTGGCCGTGTTTCCCAATCCCGTCCCCGGTGTCCGAAGATCATCAGTTACCATGCCATTTGCCCATCTTCCGTTGCGCCATGCCTTCTGAGCCGTAGAGAAACAAAGAGGTAGAGAAACCAGAAAGAAAAAAACAGCTCCTGATATTGGGACACCCCCAGAAATGTGGCGTCACCAAATACCGTAAATGCCTTTAGAGGAAGTCCAGAGTCAAATCATAACCATTTTTCTCGTGTTTGAGTGCCAAATTCAAACCGCATACGTCTTTCTGATACTGGCAAAACATGCTGCAACGGCCCGCGCTAAGATGGATAGATATTGCCATATCGACAGCCATGTATTTTGGCGCTGCCGTCTGTCTCCTCCATTCAAGACGTCATGTTCAGGGTTGACGACGGCGGGATCATGGCGGGATAATATCCGGCCGTGCTAGCCTTGCCTTCGAACCGGCCGCACCGCTGTGAATAGAACGACGAGGTGGGATAGAAGGCATTGGGCAAGGCGCCGTCATACTCGGATTTAACTTTGGAGCTGTGGTCGAGGCCGCTCGTCGTCGGGTGCACGATGCTCTCCGACTCACTCCTGTGGTGATGCTGGAAAACCTCGACGGGGTTCCTCTGGTCATGCTCGCCCTCGTAGATGGGAGTTGGATAATATTGGTAAGCCTTGGTTTCGTCGATACCTTTGGCTTCCTCGTGGGAGAGTGTTGGCTCCATGTGAAGTTCGTTGTGATGACGCGTGTTATACGACTGAGAATGCCTCGGGTCGTAGCCTCCGCCGTAGGTATTCGTCATGAGAGATGGTCCAGCGCCGAAGGGATGGCCCAACATGCCGGCCCCGTACCCGTCCCCGAGGCCAGAGCCCCCTGACGGCCCGTTACCCGTACTGCCTCGCCTCTCCGACTGGTAATGCCCGGGAGACCGGCCTCGCACAATCATCTTTGCCGACTTTCGATACCCTATCTTCATGTATTGGTCGTTTCCCGAACCTCCAACGTCGGCATACAACTCAACGAGAAGGTGGTAGTACTGTTGCGCAGCCCTGCGCTTGCCGTTGTTGGCGGTCGCTTGCTTGAATTGGATTCGCTCGTATGTGTGCTCCGTCAGTACCGACCCTTGTCCCTGCCCAAACGCCGGGTCGTAAGGTCTCGCTGGAGGCAGGCCAGCGTCAGACTGCCCGTACATGGCCATTTGCCCCATTGGCGTGAACTGTTGCTGTTGCGCCGGCTTCGGCTGCAGTCGTACCTTCTCGGGCTTGGCAATGGGTCCCTTGTCCCTCTTGGGGGTGTGTTGGACAAGATCAATGGCTTGAGTATCGCTGTCCGCCACGACGGCAGATATGTTCATCGCAAACCCATACACTGGGAAGGATGTCTGCGGTCCCGACGACGGGGTAAACTGCATTGCTTGACCCGGATAAAGGGGGTGAAGAGTGAAGGAACAAATGCAGGAGAAATAGTTGCGCCTGTAGCAAGTCCACTCGTTTTCCGCCAGAAAGAAACCCTTGTCAATGCTGCCGTTGATCTCAAACTTGATTTGGGTGGCTTGATGTCCAGCATACTGGAGAACGCCAAGGGGGGTCATGGGGTTCAGGGGAGGGATGGTCTGCTGCGACTTCTGGCCGTACCCAGACTCCATCCTGAGCGGCGCAAATTGGGCGTGAGGACTGGGCGTCGATGACAGAGGGATGCGGCGTATGTTGTCTAGATACGAGGGTGACCTGGGAGGAGGGTGGATCTCCAGTCCCCTCCTGTAAGCCGGCGTGGCCTGTGAGTAGATATCTCGCGTTTGGAGGACGGCTCCTGGCTGTGGTACTGCTAGAGAGCGGTGGGCATGTCCCATGCCCGAGGAGGAGGTGCTACTGCCGCAGTCGTAAGCATTAAGAGCATCAGCAGCCATAGGGGTAGGGGAGGCGGTCAAGGGAAAAGATGGCGCGTGTAACCTGAACTTACGCTGAGCCCAGTCGCGGCCTGACGTCGAGGCTCGGGAGGACGTGGGTAGTGGGAGGATAGACTTCAGAGGGGTATGCCGTGACCGGCTGAGCTGGTGGAATCAGGTCTATGTAAGGCGGGGGCTGAGCCGGCGCTTCTATCGTCAGGGGAGAGGCAGTAGAGTCGGGATTATAGCTACAAGTTCAGCGGTCAGCCCGGGTGCCCAACCATCCAATGCCATGTAGATCGCGTCAGTTTGTGCGCCTATAAAGATACTGTGCTGCGTTCCCCAGGTGAAACGGCTAGTGTAGGGGTATGACGGCGCTGTCGTACTGCCAGCGCTAGTGTTGCACAAGGGCCGGTCGGATACAGGATCGGGATCTGTCGACACACCACCAGCGGTAGCAGGCGCAAGACACTAGTGGGCTAGGGGATTCGGCGTCGCACACCCAGTGCCGAGATAAGCACCCATGTTCTTCCAGAGGCTTCGGGGATGAGGGACGGGGCGCAGGAGGATGGCAGCAACAACGGCAGCAGCAGCAGCAGTAGCAGTAGCAGCAGCAGTGCGAGATCCGAGGCGTTCATACCAGGGTTCACTGGCCCATAAGGGGGAAGCAGACTCAGAGACCTGCGGAATTTCGACGGGGATCCAAAGCCTTTTTAACACTTGCTAATAAGTCAGGTATTGGCAGGCGAGGCGATGGTCAGGGCGGCAGAAGGGTGTCGAAGTACAGATTGGCCGTGGTTCGAAGAGAGAGTCGCAATGCCGGGAATAACGAACAGAGACCAATAAGAAAATTCCCCGAAACGTACCGCATGTCAGCTTGGGCGTGTATGTCCAGGTAGTCCAGCCCAGACGGCGGGGGCTCGAAGTCCTGCTAGAAGAACCGCATGTTAGATCTGGCTGGCCATTTGTGAGGATTTCATTAGGGTCGTGATAAAGAAATGACGAGCAAAAATGACTGTTCGTGATCCCGCGACTGTGCATGTCAACAGCAATCATTACCGGGTCGTGGGTGCATCTGAGTCCCGATGCTGAGGGGAGGGACGGCGCCGAGACCCTCGGGGCTGGGTCCAAGTCCTGAACTATTAGTACAAAATTCCTCGAGAAGCGTAAAAGGGAAAGAAATCTGCAGCAAAATAGAAGTAGAGAAAGCCAAGAGGGAGAATTGGTAGAATTGGAAGCAGGGGAGAAGGGGGGGGGGGGGGGGGGGTTGTTGTTGTTGTGTAGGTAGGTATGTAGCCCGGTCACGATAGGCTAGAATACAGTATCCCAACGGACTGTGCAGCGATCGAGCCGTACGGTACACCAGGGTACCATGGAGCAGGGAATTGGTACATGATGCCGTGGCTGGGCTTGCAGCTTGCCAGAGCTCGGAAGCAGGAGGAGGTACAAGAGTTGCGGGCCCCGAAACCCCGGCCACCACCCTCAGAGCTACCACCCCCCAGCCGCCGGGATAGGTACTATGTCGTACAGATCCACGCCGCCGAAGCCTGCTGCCTGTGGGGACGTCTAGCTCCCGTCCTATAGAACTCCGAACTCTGGGAGACAAGATCGGGCGCAGGGCTGCTGGTCAAAAGATGACTCAAAGTAGGCATTGAAACATGGAGCAATTGGCTGACGGGGCCAGGATGCCCACGACGAGATTATGTTCAATGCTCTGATACCCAAGTTTGCCTGGGGCTGGAGCTGCGGGACAGGAAAAAAAAGAAAACGAAACAACAAACAGGGCAGACAGGGTAGGTAGACAGGGTACCACAGTCGGTTAGGTACCTAGGTAGGCAGGGAATGCAGACAGGTAGACAGGTATACATGTAGACAGGTGGACAGGTGGACAGGTGGACAGGTAAGGTAGGTAGATAGGTTAGGTAGGTAGGCAAGGTAGGGAAGATGAGGGGGCCGATTCGATTCGAGGCTGGAACTGACCTTGACAGATGTTTGGGTGTCTCACTTCTTTCACCTTTTGCTGGACAGCTGCAGCTCCTCCACCATTTTTTTGCTCTGTTCTTCAGCAGGCAGGCTGGGACATTGGCATTTATTTGGTTTGATTGCGGTTAAATTAATGCCATCATCCTCGTCCGGCACAGCGTCGCTCGAGAGTCTGGCCTTGTCGATTCCGGTCCATGGAAATAGCACAAAACAATGAAGGGCAGGACAGGCGGGGAAAACGAAGGGAAGAAGGGTGTATAATTAGAAAATGAGAAAACCTAGGTACCTTCGGGAGGTGTTGATTCATACGGCTGCCCTCTCCCCCGGGGACGACCGAGGGGCTGTCGTGGATGAAGAGGAAGTCGATGAGAGTCTGCGGCGCCTGTGTCTTAATCTGCCCCCTCGAGTGGGGTCTGGTGTTAGCTTGGCTGCATCATTACACTGTTTCTCTGATCTCGAGGTGTCCCTCCAGACCCAGCATCAGGCGCTCCACTGAGAGGCGGCAGCGATCGAGGCCGCATTGTATGTGGTACAGTACAGAGCTACTGCGGTTTGTAGGGATGGATACACCCATGGATGTGCCATCCAGTGTGGAGCGGCAGTGGAGGTAAGCAAGCAGAACAGTGCTGGAAGGGAAGGAACGATCGAGCGTGTGAGTAGCCCTACTGGGGCTGTCGAGCAAACTGTCTTGTTCGTTCCTCGTTCATTCCCTCCTTCCCTGCTCTCCCACCCGTCCTCCGTCTGTCTCTTTCTCTCTTTCCTTGATTTTGTCTTCCTTTTCTTTTCTTTTTCTCGTTTATTTTCTTTTCTTTTTACCCCCCTTCATTTCTCCCGTTTGGGACCATGCGGGAGTTTGCTCAAGACAACTTCTCCATCCGTTCCCGTGCAGTGGCTTGACACCCCGGTTGACTGACTTGCGCCAAGGCGTTCCAAAGATTGGCTGTGACTGGCTAACTGACCTTATGTTGACCCCCTGTCATGCCAAGCGATCAATTTACACCCTTGCACAACGATGAGCAGGGTCCTTTCTTTTTTTTTTAACCTGACCAATTCCAGTGTCTCGTTAGCATCAGAACCAACAATCGGCGGCCAACTGCGAGACTGCAGATGAGGTGCAGGAGAACAACAATATCGGGGCCAGCCGCAGCTGTGCCATGCACTCGACAGAATCTGGGACTGTGTGGCGGAGAATCGCCAGGTGCAGCATGGAAAGGGACGGAGGCTGCTGTGACTGTCGATCAATGAATGAATGAATAAATGAATGTGATGGAGGCAGCTCGGAATCGATCAACTTTCTCGATCCTTGCTTGCCCATTCCACCACACTCAAGCCATTCCTCCCGGTTCCGACCCCCGGCTCATTCGGGTGCTGCAGGCCGCTCCGGATTCGACAACCCGCAGGGGCGGTGGGACTCACTGACATGCGACCTCCGGGGAGGGCGGAAGGTTGAAGAAATGTGTGTCTGGTTGGAATCAGTATTCGCCCTACATGGTTAGCCTTAGATCCAGTTCCCCAAAAGCTGCTCAATGGTCGATCCCGTGGCAAACAAAAGGGTGAAGATAACTGCATGAGGTCCGAGATCCCGTTCAAAGCTTACCCACCCTTGGAGAGGTGAGAGGAAGCCACATATACCAAGCTGACAGGGATGATGATGATGATGATGGTGGTGGTGGCGGTAGGGGTGGTGGTCGTGTGGTGGCGGCAGAGGGAGCAGAGGGGGCAGCAGCTTACTTCTCTAGTCCAATCCGTCCTGGTTACCTATCGAGAGTCTCGGCGATTCGTCTGAACAAGTCGCAACGTTGTTGTCTTGGTTGTTATGATGGCGATTTAAGCCCCTTGTTCGCGCTTCGTCAAGACTCCGTCGTGGGCTTTTTTGGTCTTCCCCGCCTGGGTTTAAGGGACAGTTTGCTGGCTCAGTAAGCACAGGGTCTTCGAGAGATCGCCGTCTATATATCTCGTCGCGATCTTGGCGTGGTGGCTTGGTCGGGGATCGTACAGATCGAAAACGGGTTGCTGTCTCGACGCTCGACAATGGAGTACAAGAGAAGGCGGAAGCAAATAAGAGTGTGTTTAAGTGTTCAGGCTGGGCCCCGAGTCGATAATGTCCCGGTTGAGGAAGGAAGAAAAGAGGGATGAGTGAGGGGGGGGCCGGCGGGGGGGAGAGGCTTAAGGATGATGAGAACGGCACGTTGCGAGGGGCTGCTGTGAAATACGACCTCCTGGAATTCCTAGGATGCAAACTTTGGAGGAACAGATTGGGTCGTGCAAAGCTTTAAGACAATGCCACTCATGCACGCCCTGGGGGGTGGGAAGAGTTCGAGGCTACGTGGGCCCCTTATCTTAGATGGAGCAAGTTTGATGTTTTTGTCATTCAGTCGAGCTTGTGGAGCTGGAATACGCGCCTGCGAGAGGGAACTAGGCCCTGGATCAGCTGTAAGGGAAAGCCGCCTCCCCTCCCCTGCGCGTGGACGAAGATCTTTTGCGAATCTCCGGCCTTGACAATCAAGCACGAAGCCGCTTGGGTTGCAGGGCCATGCTTCTTCATGTGGTCTTGGATGCAAGGTCACAGCCGAACAACAAGGAACACCCACTTCGCCCCTGGGTAGTCCTGATCTAGGCTCGTTCGTCGACTCGTGTCCACCATCAGATGGAAATAGGAGTCTCTGCCCCCATCCTGTCCAGTCAAGCGCCAAGTGTCACCCGAATCCCCTCTATCCTGAACTCCCCTCTTCCTTGCATCGTTCGCATAGCTTGAGGGCGTAATGGCAGCAAGCCTAACAACTCTCCGAAATAATGGTACCTTTAACAAGTGTTGAAAACGAAAGAGTTCCCTGCTGACTTCTGAGTAGGCCTCGTCTTCCACGCATCACTTATGCAGCTATCCTTCACTCAGGGCTTCTACAATACGCCACAAACATTCACTTTAATTGAGGCAAGGCCCGCCCCAGCAGGTTAGAGGCCCAGAAACTGACGGAAGGCCACAGCTGGATGACAGCCCTGGGTGATGGAAAGCGAGTCGCCGCCACGTCGATCGAGAGTGCCTGACGTTGCTTCTAATAAGCCAAGTCTACCTGCACGTCTACGCAGCCGACTTCACGCATGGCGAATGAAGAAGCTCACTGGCCTAGGATAGGGGCATTTTGAAAGACGTACTTAGATACTCGACCCAGTTGAAGCATACCTGCTGCAACCAGGGACTATTATTGCCTTTAGTCCACATGAATATGGAAATGGAGAAAGCCGTCCTCGCTTGTTGGTCTCAGGCCTGACAGCCAACCAGAAATCACCTTCACATAGACTGGGAATCGGAAGCAGATTTTGGCTTTGACTTTCGGCCCTATGACTACGTTGGCGTTTGGTTGGCCTGACTTGTTCGGGCCTGTGGACTCTTCTTGCCCGTGGAGCACCGCCATATTCGTTTCAATCGTGGATTTATTCTGATGTCTCAGGCTGGAAAGCATGGGCTTCTTCACGAGGTACGTGAGGTCATGGGATTGTGCCCGCAGAGAGGCTAGATGGAGCCGGACAGTCCTACGAGCTCAAGCGCCAGTGGGAGTTTGCCTTTCGCCTCAGGCACACAGATGCAGCCACGAAAGTGGCAGGCTGGCCGATCATGCGGTGCGTATACCCGTTACTAATGTAGGAGGGTGACAAT